TTACCACTGGTAAACTCGGTTTTCTCCCAGACTTGCCAGTGATAAGCAATGGGATGGCATGCCAGGTTTGGAAGGTGCTCATGCAGTGACTTAGAAGCTGCCACATGGATTCTGGGACTTCAATTTTTCCAGATTTGTAACGGTTTTTTGTGATTTTTTTTTTTACTAAATAACTTTAATTACATAGCTAAGTGTCAGGATATTAAACCATACTCCTAAACAAAACAAAACAAAAAAATTTTTAAAAAAGGCATAACCTTATGTGCTAAAAAAAGATGGGAAGAAGAAAATATGCTCTTTGAACGAGTATTGCCAGGAGATTTGGTGAAAATCAGAATTCACAAAGGCATTAATGGGAAAACAAATTGGATGCTAACAACCTCAAACAATTCTTTTCTCGGAATATAAAAATGCTTGTATTCACCCTGCCACATCTGAAGGATGAACCATAATACGATGTGTTCACTAGACAAAGCAAGCAGAAGGATGGTGTAACCTATCATGAATTGCTGTCCAGGTCTAATAAATGTATTTCAGACTTCCATTATAACAGTAATACATCTGCATGAATGTTAAGGGTATCACTGGTCAGAAATAGGGGGTTTTCTCTAGTACTTTGAACAAACATTTACTGAGGCTTTTTTCCCCCCAACACATGCAAAAAGAAGCAGGTTACTTTACAGTAAAATAGATGTTAAGACTATGCAAAGACATTACCTCATTAACCTCAAGATATAGCAAGAAGGAAACTTAATCCTCAGGCAGGCAATCACTGAGAAAGATACTGCTGAAAGGTAAACTTCTCGTCAAGAGTCCAACAACTAGTACAGGATTCCACTGCTCTCTCTGGTTTCCACCCATTCAGAGAAGGACTTCAATTCCTTTACAAGGCACCCAGTAATTGCTATGCTTGACATATTTAACACTTAAATTTTCTTAAAGTTTCTCCAACTGGAACACAGCAACTTTCTGTCAGTCTGCTCAATTCAGCATACTGGACTTCTCTTGTAGCACGAACCCTTTCTTAGGCCAGAGAAAGAAAGAGTTCATTGCTCTCTGCTTACTTCCAATGCTGTTGTTCAGTATGACACCTACCAAGTACCACACATGCAGTGCCTTCTAAAGAGACAGGCAGAGTCTTGGAAGTAAGCCATCAGTGGGGTTTCAAGATGTCATATCCTTACTGCTGTCCATAAGACAAGAGATGAATACTGACTGAACATCCTATGCAGATTTCATATTTTAATCACTTCTACCTTTCACTCAGGTATTTCCCACAAACAGGTCAGGAGACTGTTGTGTCTCCAGTCTGGCAGCCTCAGGTGAAAAAGACACAGATCAGTGTTCCTTACACCTTTCTAAATCATTCATTACTCTGTTATTAACAGAAAGACATTTCTGAGTTTAGGAGACTTCCATCTGGTTAGGTAAAAACGTAAACTTTTGTTAATTAAACGCAGCTATACAACTGTCCTTCCTAGATGAACCAAGATTTTGATTATATATACACCTTTTTTAAAAAGGTAACCACAAAAATACTTGTTATTCTCCCTACTGGGGTTCAGAAAAAAATAAAAATAAATAAATAATAATAATAATAAATTAAAAAAAAAAAATCCTTATCCACACAGCTATGCCAGCAGATTCCTTAAGTGTAAACATGTACGAAAGTAAAGCTGCACTTTCACCAGCAGCTTGTTTTGCTCGGAGCAGGACAGAATTACTACAACAATATAAAACATCCTATATGTGGGTCCTCACAAAGTGCATAATGAGAACTCTGTCTTTCCTGGACAGACACCAGCACAGTTGTAAATGAGAAAAATGCTGCAAGTAAACTCAACACCTGTATCAAGTAAATACCTATGAACTGAGAAACACTTTCTAAACATAACTAAAAATGGTTATAAAATCAAAAGAAGGAAACACATGTAGTAATGATAATTGTATACAATTCAATTACCTTTTACAACCTGAAGAACTGTTATGAGGCAACAAAACCCAAATCCCACAGCACTTAATATTTGGAGCTAATCCACCTTTCAAGATTTGACAAGCTATCAAGAAACTACTTTACAACAACTGTAAAGGAAAAAAGATGCAAGTATTTCCAAAGCCATTTTCAAAAGTCACCATTATTTAGATAAGCACTAGTGCTGTGAAGATAAAAATCAGCCTTTACCTTTATCACAATGTACAAAGTTTCACCACTACTCCCATCCTGTCACCACCCGTTTCACAGCTTCTCCTATGGTTTCTGTCCTCCACCAACTTCAACACAAAATACACTTAAGACACAGAACTACTTAAGGACTGACTCTAATACCTTCTTATTGAACAGAAATTAATCATTAATAAATAATAATCTGCTAATACTTTTCATGCCTATTTCAAGATAGCTGAGGCAACACAAACTTATTTTTCTTATTCTGCCACCTTTCGTATCATTAAGTTCTCCAGCTGCATTGCAACTGAAATTAGATCCCATTTCTTTGGGGCAAAAACTGGTTTTGTATTCAGTTTTGGGCGCTCTGTATCTTCTATGAGTGCATTATTTCAAGAGGTGCCCATTTTCATTTCTGAGTATCTTATTATCAGTCTCCACCACAGTGGCAAGATGATCATAAAAGGCACATATTTAGCATCAAACAGCTACTTGAGAAAGACTATTTTCTTGAAAAATAAGACAGTGAAACACTCAGCAAAGCTCTAAAATAACATCTCCTGAAAAGTCATTTTAAAATATACACCAGGCAGAGCTACAAGTGCTAAGTGGTTAAATTCACTGTGTACTACTACCAAGTCACTATTCAGTAAAGCTATGTCCAGCATCTAAGGAGAAAGACAGTAAGAAGCTGGCCTGCTGCAGATTACTCCAACGAGCCATCACCCACATCACAGCCTTCTTTCGTCTGAGAACTGCAACTGACCAGGCTGAATCAATACTTCAAAATGTTTTCTTACAGCTACATTGCTGTACCAAAGACTGCACAAGTAAACAGCCTGTAAAACATTCATTGTTAAGCAGGTACTCACATTTGACACATTTGAAGCTGTCCATCATCAGGAATAATCTAGTGTTCCCTAGCTAAACAATTTTTAGGAATCCATGTGGTAATGATTAAGAACATTTAAGAAATGCAAAATACTGAAAAGAGATAGCCTTATGTAAGTATATGCCAGTCAAAAATGCAACACTACTAGTAAGTTTCCCTGATAATACCTTGTACAACAGGTATCTACATTTATGAAATTTGACCCCAAAAATGTGATGAAATGCTTTAATTGCTAGTTATAGAAGTAATTAGTATAAAGGTACAGGAAGTTTCCATGAAGTGCCAACGCATGGTGACACGGTGCAGCAAAGTTTAGGCCCTCAAAAACATGGAAACGGGTGAGAACTTGTTTCTCAGTGCCTAAATACGTTAACCTTAATAAGTACAGGCACTCTCAAGAATGCAGCAAATTCTAATGGCTGCTGAGCAAGGAATGTGTTTTCCTGGAAAGCAAGGCACATTTTGAGCAATACTTTAACAATACAAACAAACAAAAACCCCAACCACCACCAAACTAGCAAACCCCAAACAACACCACCAAAACAATACTGAAGGAACACTAGTTCAGAGAACTAGTTCAAAGAACTAGGACACCAGTCTCAAAGAGCAAAAAGAAACACACTGCCCAAAACCAACCAACTAAAGACAAGAGTACAACTAGGGACGGGGTACACAGCAGAGCCCCTAAGATATTCTTTTATACAACGCTTGCTGCAATGTGCAAAACCATTATGAACTAGGCTAGGACTAGTTTACTTAGAGAAGATGCAGCACTTTAAGGTTCCTATAAAAGGCACAAGGGGCAGGTATTTAGTGGGCTCCATATAAACCAAGACACAGTCTAGGAGGTTTGCATGCTCTGAAGCCAGAAAATTAAAAGAACTCACTTGTATTCATCACTTTCCAAAACAACAATATTGAAGACCTATGCCAAAACTCTTCACCTCAAACTAAAGGCTATGCAAGCAATTATTCTCAAAAAACACAGTTATAAAGATTTCTACTGTTCCGAAAACTCATTTCTCCACCTTCCAAGACCTTCTCACGTGAAAGTGTGTGCTCTGAAAGTGCTTAGGACGTCACAAAAAAAAAGTGTTAGCGATTTCATGTGTGGAGAACATGATTTTGCCTTCTCCTGCCATTTCAGAAACAAAGATCTTACTTCCTAGTGTTCCTTTAATAATCTATAATGTTAACCAAAAGAACTACAAGGGGTTTCCTACAAAAACATGGTGGTCATCATTATTAGTGCAAAACTGAAGACAAAAATCCATCTCTCTTCAAAGTTTCCTGTGGCCTTTCCTATTAATGGTAAAAAAAGCTAAAAACTTAGTTATCATTCTTTTAAATTCCTCTAGGAGTATTACAAATCAATGCCAGATTTTTATACTAGTAGCAAACCGCAGAGGACAGTTGTGTTGGCTGATAAAAATATCTTCCTCTGCCCTCAAAAAAATGCTCTTTAAACCACTACATTTTTTCCAGTGTAGGAAATTCTTCCGGGTTCCAAACTGAATAATATTTACACCTGAACAACTATTCCGAGCTGATGGATCAATTTTCTTTCATTACTATTGTTTTGACCGTACTTTAACAGGCACATGTCCGAGTTTGATCCTCCAAAAGCCCTAGAACTTACTCTCTGTTGACAAGAAGACATTAAAGGAAAAAAAAAGGCGCGGGTCGTGACAGGTCTAATTGATTTAGGGTAAATGACACCTCATCTGCTCGTCTGTTTGGATACCGCCCTGTAATGACCGCTGTGGTCGCTCCGCCCGGCGCGGGCCATCACGCTTTGCCCGCAGCGTGCGGAGAGCGCTTCGCCAGCGCAGCCCACGCGGGGAGCCCGGGCACGGCCGGAGCGCTCGGGAGAGCGGTCCCGGGGCTGCGCCCGGCGCCCCCAGCGGCTGCTCCGCGGCGGCCGCACCCCCCGTCCTCGCTCACCTCGGCGGCCGGGATGTTCACCACACCTGTCGACCTCCTCTTCTCTCTCAGCTTCCTCTTCTCGATCTGCCCCTTCCCCTTCCTGGCGCTGGGGCCTGAGCTCTTTCCCTTGGCGGCCAGCTTCTCCTCGCCCTCGGGGGAGTCCGGCGCGGCGGCGGTCTCGACCCCGCGGCCCCCGGCGAGGGCAGGCGGCGGCTCCTTGGCGGGGGCGGCGCGGCCCAGGGCGGCGCTGGCCAGGCTGACGCAGTTCACGGCCCCGCCGGCGGGGGGCGCCGCGCGGTCGGGGGGCAGGTTGTTGTTGTTGTTGTTCAGCTCGGCGGAGGGGCCGCCCCCTGCGGGACGGGGCTCCCCTCCGGCCGGTGCGCCCGCGGCCGGCGGCGCCTGCTTTGCCCGCATCTTCTCCCGCTTGGCTTTCCACTCCTCCAGAAAGTCCGTGGTGCTGCCCCCGGCGCTGCGGTAGCCGCCGGTCGCCATGTTCCCAGCGGGCTGGACGGCGAGAGCGCCCCACCAGCACCTCTGCCGTCGCCCGCCCCGAGGCGACTCTGGTGCCGCCCGGAGAGGAGAGGTCCCGGCGGGGCGGGCGGGAGAGTCGGGGGCGGGGAGAGAGGCTCGGAGAAGCACAAACACCCTGGAGAGAAACAAAAGGGGGGACGTGAGCCGTCCCGCCGCACTGCCCATCCCCGTCCCGCTGCCCCGCCAACTCCCCGGGAAACCACCCGGGTACGGGTCTCCATCACTACCCGCTCTCACACGCTCGGCTCCCACGGCTCGGACCGTGGGAGGGGCGAGGGGCACCGAACCCGCCGCGGTGCCCCTCGCTCCCCGGGGCTCCCCTCATCCCTCGGCGCAGGGCCGCCCGGCGGCGCCCGCCTTCCCCCCCGCCCGCCCGCCGCGGCCACGACGACCGCACAGCGCCGTCCCTCGCTCCCAGCCCGGCGGGTGCTGTGTCCCCGATCCCGGTGCCATCCCCCCGACGCCCGCTTGCCTGCTCGGAGAGCCGCGTTCCCGCGCGGAGCGGGGCGGGGCGAGCGCGGCAGGCGCTCACCTACCGCCCGGCGGGGCCCCGGCTCGGGCGCTCCCCAGCGCCGGCGGCACCAGGTGAGCGGCACCGCCTCCCGCCGTCCCGGAAGGAGCGGCGCGCCCCCGAGGCTTTCCGAGCTCCCTCCCCTTTCCCCATCGCGGCGCGGACGCAGCCGAAGCCAGGGCGGAAACTGCCGAGATGGCCTCGACAAAGGGGTGAGGGCGGGGAGGCCCCGCCCGGGCCGGTGCGCGCCGCGACCCGACCGCCCCGGGTGCTGGCCAGCCTTGGGGCCGCGGCACCTGCCCCAGGCAGCGGGAGCGGACACGGACCTCGGCGCCCCCGATGAGCAGCAGCCAGGGCTGGAGAGGGCGAGGGGCGCCGCGGGAGAGCGGGATGAGCGGGACGGCCGCCACCGCCGCCAAACGCCGCCAGCCCCGGGCCGCCCTCCACACCCCGGGCAGCTTTAACGGGCGGCGGGCGGGGGCTGCGGGAGCACAGCCGGGAGGGGCCGGAGGAGGCGGTCTGGTGTCACCCCTCTCCGCAGGGGGCTCCGCCGAATCCGCCCCGCACCTGCCGCGAAGCCTCGGGTGAGGGGCCCCGACGTGCGGCCGCCTCCCGCGGGGCAGGTGCCGGGCTCGGCCCTCGGGCGGGGCGGCTCCCGGGCACCGCCGGCCGCTGTCGCCGGCGCCGAGGCAGGAGCAGCGTGTGCAGCCCGGCTCGGTCAGCCCGCGGCCCCGCTCCCATCAGGGACACGCCGCTGGGACGGGAGCGCCCGCTTGGCCTGGAGACGTGGTCCGCCGGACAGCGGGGCTGTGCCCGGGGGGAGGAGCCCCCGGTTGGTGGCTGCCGCGGCATTAATGACTTCCCCGGGGCCGCTCCAGCGGTGGTCAGACCGCAGCAGCTGGTGGAGTTCGCTCCCGCGGGCGGAAGGTTGAGAAAGAGCTTATGTTTTCCTGATGTGACAAGAAACAAGAATTCAAGGGGTTTCCTTGAGTCACACTGCAAAGACTTGAAAGATGTCTCGTTTATAAATAATAACAGCTCTCAGTGGGGAAACTTGACTGCGTTAAATGTTGGGGAAAACGAACATGTAGGGATCGTGATGGGAGTGTGCGTATCTGTTAAACAGCTTGTGTAGGTGTTAAGATGGCTAAACCTGCACGGAAACTCAGCTTTTTTTCGTTTGCCCGAACTCACCGTATCTTAATTGCTACTCTGAAAACTGATCGTGGTACTTTTGGAAATCACTGATTTCAATAGACTTGTGGCTTGCCTAATCAGCTTTATAAAGTGTATGCTGAGGAAAAATAGTGGATCGGTGCTACCTTTCCAGCATCAGGACAAGATAGAAGTTTACATCAGTTAGAGGAAATATACAGCCTGGGCTTACCTAGCTATGGGGACGTGATCACCTTTTCATCACTTTTTTTCCCTTTTTCAGATTCAGTCCTGCTTTAGTCCACCTCGTTAATAAAATTCAGTATATAAACTTTGCAAAGGCTTTTGGTTTCTTTTTACAGAAAAAAAAAATTCTAGGTGTCACAGGTATGGGTAAAAAATATCTAGCAAAATGAGGCTCCACATCTGACACTAGGCACTCTGCACAGTGTAAATAACAGGCTTAGCCCATGTAACCACTTTCGCCTTAGATCTCTGCCTTGTTCCCTTTCACAGTAGTGGGCACAGTCTCACCCTACCAACCTTGTCTGCCCTTCTGGTGATCATTCATTTACTTGGACTTTTCACTGAACTCGTATCTGATTTCTGCTCTGGTTTGGGTTTAAGAATGTTTTTGGTGTGGCGGTTGGTTTTGAAGGGGTGTTTAAATACTTGTATATGTGGAAGTTAAGGTACAGTTTTATCACTGCAGATGAAACCTTTTATATTTCAGGCTAAGGGAAAATCCCCAAACAAAACTGGCTAGTTGTTCTGTGTTTTGTTGGAAAGCTGTAAAGAGGAAGAAAAATAGATAGTGAAAACATAGTTTTGTACTCTTTACTACTCAGTAATACAAAATTAGTGAAGTTGGTTCCTAAAAAATATTTTGACTAAGCACTCTCCTAAAAAATAATTTTTACCTACACTCTTATCTGTAGAGTTTTTGAGTTAGACAACTACTCAATTGTATTTCTAGAAAATATAATCTAGAAAAAGGATTCCTCATGTGAATTCTTGTCTGCCTTTCCCCTCCTGTAATTTTTTTCCATTTATAAAATAAAGAGCTTTTCTTGAGAGAATCATGTAACCGTGGCAATAATAGTATTTCGCCCTCACTTTTACACACCATGAGCAGCACAGCTGACCAAAAATAAGTAAAAAAAGTCAGGTTAGGAAGTTGTTACTTATAGTATGCTGTGTATATGGAGAAATATAACAATGTATTTTAGTGTTTAGGGCACCCTCAGTTCTCCGTTACCCCAGGTCTCCCCAGCTGCTCCCGGGGTTCCTCTCTCTGGCAGTCCTTAGCAACTGGCAAGGCTTAGATGTGCATGCCCCACTTAGCATCTGATCTGCCCACCTTTCTTATGTGTGGGAGGTGATGTGTCCAGGGTTTAGCTGCATCTACCAATGCTGTTGGATTTACTTTTTTTCTGATGTAAAATACATTGTGCGGTTTGGGATTTTTGGTTTGGGATGGTTTTAGTGCCAAAAAGGCTTTGTGTGCCTTACAGTCTGTTATTTATTAACAGAAGTTATGTTGTGGTGAGTGAGGTTGGGTTTAAGTGCCCAATACAAAAATGCTGACTATCAGATGTTTGCATCTCAATAAGGTTGTCTGTGCTGGAGAGCTTTCAGGGATAAAGTCCCAAATAGTTTAAGTATCATGCTGCATGTTTTCCTCTGCCACAAGGGAGTACAGCTTAATAGCTTGCAAACGTTTTTAGAGCAGCACTTTTTTTTACAAAGAAAAAAAAATCTTCAGGATATCCTTAAGGCCTAGAAATACAATTCATTTTATGAGCTATGTTTTAAACTGGCATAATGACAAGGGACCTTAAGCCTTAAGATACTGCGTTTTATATATTCAATATTATGGAATAAGATTCTCCCCTAGAGGTAAAATTACCACCAGGATTGGGTAGGATGATCTTGATCTTCTTTGCTATGCAAAAAATACTTCATTTTTCAATTTAGACTAAAACCCATAATTCATTCCTAAAATATCAAGGAAATGAAGTGTGTTTTGGGGTTGGGCACTTCAAAGCTCCTTCCTTTGTAAAGGGTTGCAAGCTGCTTGAGTTCTTTTAATTTATTCTAGAGATTCAACCAAATTATCCAGCCTTTTTGTTGTGTTTACAAGTTTATCTGAGCCATAATCTTTTCTGAAGTGGTTATTTTCAAGGGCTGGAAAATAAACCAGTGGATATAATAACATATTACTGGCTGAAAAAATTAAGGACAACATCCAAATTCCTGCCCAATATCTGTTTGCTTGTTACCATTGTGCTCTGAGCTTACACTCTGCTTTTTACACCAATTGATACCTGTATGTTCTGTACTGAAATTCCCTCCCTCCCACCCTCTTCAGCATCTCTGGAAGTTCTCCCCAAAGCCTCTGTTGAGCTTATTGTATTCTCCTGCCTGTTTCCCAAACACACGTGCTCCTCCTTCTGCTCACATTCCTTTGGGCCCCTGCCTGTCTTACCTGAACTTCCATGAAACTCTTTCACTTAGTGCACCTATCTACTGCTTCCCGTATCTCATCCCCTTTGAAGTCCATTCAGTCAGAACTCTTCATGTTTCTTCTCCCAATCCAAACTTTTTCAGTCACATACTTGTTCTACCTGCTTTATTAAACTAGGTTTACTAAGCTTGCTCCAGTGATGTCCTATTAAATTTTCCCTCTCTGCTGCTTTAAATTTTCCCTGCTGGATAATCCTCACCCACATCACTGTACCATAACTAACCTACCTACCTGCTTATTTCTGCACTATCTATCCAATAATGCTGTTGCTTAACATTGCTATGACTTAGTGAAATCTTACTGCCATCTTTTTGTAGAAATATCTGTCCCTCCTTTTATCCATAAAATTTCAAAAACCTCTCTTTAAATCTTTCACTTTAAATCTCTGGCTGTAACTTCCATCTAATCTTCCTGTAAACTTCCCACCTATGCTCCGTGACATTTCTAATGTCAAATCTCCCCTGAAAGTAAAATAATCCTTAAGCAAAGCACCATTACCCCTCTTGATTCCTCTTCTTTAACCTTTCATTACTAATGGTTGGGTATTTTGGTGGTTTTGTCTAAATGCAAATGAACTGCTACACTTTTCAATTTAATACTGTTTTCTGCTACTTCTGAGCTATGCATGCCTTCTGAGAGGCTTAGCCTATTATCATGGGTTTTTTTTATTTCCTAAACTTTTCTTGCAGAAATTAATTAAATTATTCTTCCCCCCCCCCCCCCCAGCTTTGTGTCACAGCACTTAACTTTTTGGCAAGATTTTCCTCTGTAAGGTTCTAACAACTGATTCTGTTCTAATTATGACTGGATTGCTTTCTTATGGTTTGTGCCTGCAAACTCATACAAAGCTGACAATCCCACTTTTACTGAAATGCAAATTTTATCATATTTGTTGTGCCACTGAATTGGATGCTTAAACCTTTTTTTTTCAATTGCTAGGGCCTGATTTAAAATCTTGTATGTAAATACAGCAGAGCTTTGTGAAATAGCTG